TGTTTCACGGGTGTTCAACCTATCTTTACATTTTTGTTGTGTGTGTGACCCAGAACAAAAGGGGGAAAAAAAAAAGGAGATGCGCTTGAAGGTTTTTCCTGGGGTGCTTTCAAAAAATCCAGCCGCCTTTCTTCGGCCATTTCGGAACGGGGACAGCTTGCTCCATGCGCCTTTTGAGGCGGACCTGGTGGACTTCTACGGGAAGTGCCGGGGCTGCGGTCAGAGCGGGGGCCATCACTTCGCCTGCGACCAATGTCCTCAGAGCTTCCCCAGCAGCTACGCGCACCTTCGGCGGCAGTTTGGAGCGGCTTTTTGATTTTTCGAGCCTTGAATATTTTTTTTTCCTGGGGGACTGTCAGACACAGGTTTTGTTTGTTTCCTCCTTTTCTGGTGGGGAGTCAGACACAGGTTCCTGCTGTGGGTGGTTGCGAAATCCGTTCGCACCACTTTTTGAAGCCATGATTGAAGGCATTGTTTGTTGGTATTTGGAGGGAAATCAGCATTCAGGGTGTCTTAGGTGGTTCAGTATTTCGTCCATCCACAGTAGGACCCTCAAACTACCCTCAAAAATGGGTTGGTTTGAGCCTATGGTGGGTTTTCTATGGGGAGTTCGAGGGTCCAGCTTGAGCTTTTCGGGGATACAAGCACCCCCTTCTAGAGCATGTCAAAATTTGCCGGGGCGCTTGAAGTAGACATTTCTGGGCACAGGTTGTTGCGACTTCCTGCTGGCAACAAGCATGTGTAAGGCAGCTGCGGACTTGCACGCTTGTCCGTTTCCTGAGAACGTGTTGCTTTGCCGGTTTCAAGCATTGGCAAAGGTGAAGGCATACTAAATACTACATGTTCATGTGTATGTGGCCGTGCACTATGCCCTCTCCAACATTCACGGTTGATTTCTCTTACAGCCGGGTCGAAAAGACCTAGCTGAATAGTGTAGCTACCCTTCTTGCACATGCAGCCGTGTGCTTTTCCAGCTGCCCAATTGAAGGAGAATAATCAGACCTGCTTGTAAGAGTTCTCTTGCTTATGACAGAGATGCCGAGGTTCTTGCGGGTTTGGGTTTCATGCACTGGCGCCCGGTCATGGGCACAGACGGCTTTCGGCTTCAAACAATTGTTCGCGCTTGCGTAGATTTGTGGGCGCAGGGTACGCAACCGTTGGACAACTGCAGTGTTTGTCAGGAGATGATGTTTGATGCGTATGTTTTTCTTATACAACAAGCGGAGCCATGCAAAGAGAATAGGTGCTGGTTCAGTTTTGTGACAGCCTCAACCCTCTGCAGAAGACTGTATGCCTCACAAACAGCAAGAGTGAGCACATCACTTTGAAGCTTCAAACCAAAAACACATGGGTGTTTTAGTTTTTGTTTGTGTGTTGCAAGCGTTTCAATGTTTCCATGTTGCGGTTGATGTGCAGTCGTGCGATAATTTGGATTGATTTGATCTTCACACTAGGTCAACACCCAACATACTCAGAATCACTCGTGGAATCATGGCGTTGGCGATGAGTGAGCCAGGGCGAATTGCTTTTAAAGTTCTTGGAGTTTCAGCACTCAGTCTCCCGATTGGTTGCGTTGCTGCAAACATGGGCTGAGTTGGGCGAAATCTGAGGAGAGAAGTGCACATGAAGTTCTTCCACGCGCCGGAGCTGAGTTCCGAGCGGAAGCCCATGGGCCTGAGAAAACTCCAGGAGCGAGGTTTGAATATTGGTTCGCTTTGGCTGGGGCCGAAGGACGGAAGCTTGGCGCTTTTCTTTTGCCAAGGGATGTTCGGACTGAATAACTAATTTGGCCAACTCATTTGGGTTTTCCGTATTAAACCACTAAAAGTTATTCACTTTTAGCAGGGGAGCAGAAAGCAACCGAGTGGAAGTGACCAATCTGTTTGTGACTTGCTTCCCTGGGCCTTGCACCAGTGAGTGGCAAACGAAGCTTGTCTTGGACACTTGCTTCTGTGGGCCTTGCATCAGGTGGCAAACAAAAAAAACGCTCTCGTTTTTTGGGCGAAAGGGAACAGGGGCAAGCCCGAAGAGGGTTGCGGCCACGGAAAATGATGTGTTTGTTTGTCCAACCCTTTTCGCAATACCTGTCTATGTAATGATTCTTGTGGGAAATGGTTGATGACACTGAGGCCTTTTTTCAAAATTGTCTTGCTTGAATCATGAAGCATGCCACTTGAAGTTTCAGCTATTCCACTCAAAGTGTCAGTTGTTCGACTACAATGTTGAGTTTGAGGTATTCCACTCTATCATGCAGAGGCTTCATTTGCATTATGTGCCAAAGCGTTGGTGATACTGGAGCCATATATATATATATGTGTATATATATATATACATATTAGTATACTACATGCGTATGTGTATAGAACAAGGTGATTAACAAGAGAAAGTGAAGGAGCAGGAGAAGGACAACAAGGAGAAAGATGAAGAGAAAGCAAAGGATAAGGATAAAAAATAGCCAAGGGGAGAGACAGAGAGAGAGAGAGAGAGAGAGACGGAAAAGAGGTAGAGACACATGCAGAGAGAGAGAGAGAGAGAGAGACAGAGTCGGGAAAGCCTTTCTCTTACTTATTTTTGAATTTTCCGCCCTCCTCCTTCGCGGACTTGACTGGTATCATTATTTGCATGTACCCTCACCAGCGAGCAAAACAGGTTTCCCTGATATTACAAGTACTTGTTCAAATCCCAAGATTCCAATAGATAGGAAGATGCCAATTCCAAACCAATACTAAACAATGAATATTTTTTCCGAATGGACCTCTTTGGTCGTGGGGACGTTTTGCCCAGCTAAACCATGGACCTTTTGCGGTCCGCCGGACCGCAGAACGTGGGAGTCACGCGGAGATTTTGGAACAGGGGGACAAGAATACATGGGGTGTTTGGATTTGTTTTGCTGGAGACGAAAACGGAAAAACCAGTTCTCGAAAAAGCAACTGAACAAAATACAAAAACAATATCCACACCCACAATACCTGATGTTTCTCCGTATTTCTTGAAACAAATAGGGCGGGGGGGCTGCTACAATTGTTGTATTATTCGATTCCAGCTGCCAGCTCCAGGAGGCTCCACGGTGGCAACTGCCCGCACAGAAGATGGGCTACGTGAGCAAGCAGTTGATCCGTTGGATCTTGGAGCAGTGAGGCTTCGTTAGCCCTGGTTTCGCGGGCAAGTGCTTTCCTCTTCTTTTTTTTTGTCTCGGACATGGGCAGACTACGCGGACTCTTGCGACACTTTGGTTTTTATTAACTTGCAAAGCTGCATGAGGCAAGCGGGGTCATCACATTTGTGTCGTGCATGATGCGTAATTCGACCATGAAGGCTGCCCTCTCCCGACAAAAGCGCGCCTCGTGCAGTGACATAAGCTGCACGGAGCGAGGGGACTGGATTCCCTGGACGCTGTTCTGAAGACACAACCAGGAATGATGGAAGAAACCGTAAGAAACCAGAGCAGTTAAAAAAACCAGAGCAGTTTATCCCCTCTAGTGTAGTATGTGAGGGTACCCGGAGGATACTTCGATCGCTTCAATTTCTCTCAAAGCGTCAGGTGTCTTGTTAGGGTAGCAGCTAGCTGATTTCCCAAACGGTTTTCCTTTAGGCTCTGATGAAACGCCCCGGTACATTTCCTTCAGAAAAAAAGTCGTGGTGTTTTACTCCATGTTCTTTTCATTGCCTGCGATTGTCACTGGATGCCTGGTGAAGGACAGATATCAGATACTGGCAAGGCTCAACCCCTAGCGCCTTTTTTATGGAGCCGCTTGGCAAACACGCCCTCCAGTCCCCCATGCGCTCTTGGGTGTCTATAGAGGTGTCCAAAGCCGGGCGCCAGGATGGACCCCCCGCAAGGGTGCATGTAATCGAGATCGGCTGGCTTCCACTTGGCCCAGAACATGGCGGTCATGGGCATTAGCTCGCTGAATCAGACAGACCATTTGGACTAGGTCCCCCAGTAGTGGACTGTTAGCCTTTTTTGGGGGAGGGTTCCCCTACCAAAATAAACTACAGAAAAAAGGGTACCCTTATTCTAACCTCTCTACTGGAGGACCTAGTGGAGGTGCTCGATTCGGGTCGCATGAAGTCTAGCGTTTGAAGTCATCATGATGGGCTCTCGAGTCCTGGCAATCGCAGTATCCCACTTTGACAGCGGCTGAATGCCTTGATCGCCATTCTTTCCACAGGGCGAGAACCGTACCCTTGTACGGAGCCACCGTTCTAGTCCGAGAATCCCCAGTAACGCGCACGCACGTTTTTTGGCCAAGAGCTTGGCCGTGATGTGTCAATCACTAGAATTCAATTGCTTGGGCATAACAGGCACTCCACAGGCTGAACACTCACCAACTTTGCCTGTTCTGCGATCTGCAGAATCCTGCAGACAGTCTTCCGGAGGCCATGCGATCAGTTCCTGTCAAAGACGGGGAGCCGTGAACGCTGCAAATGCCTTCCAAGTGGCAAGGAAGCAGTGGGGCCGAGCGCTCATATTCAGGCCCAGGAGATATTGCTGTTACACAACTTAAAGTCGTGTTCACCGCTGACGTTCAATGTGAAGCTTCAGGTGTGGCAATAGACCTTAAGCCTTGAGTCATTGTCTGCGTTTCTCCTCGCCCAGCATTGGGCAAGCTGACATCTGAGTGCGGGCAGGGCTCCGTCTCTCTGGGAGGAGGCGGAGTCATCCTGAAAGCCCCTCGGAGTGAGCATTGTTCTTGGCCAGATGTTCATGACATCCTTGGCATCGCTCGTACGGCAAAAAAAATCGGCCGTCATTTAATGTGGTGAGCCTTCTTTCCGGTCGGTTTGTCAATGTGATCAATGCGACGATCCAGATAATCCTAGAAAAGCTTGGGCATCTGGTTCTTCCAGGAGCCCTTTTGGCTCAAGGCGTTTTACACTTGAATTGTTTTTTGGGCAAAAAAGCCAGCTGTGTCTATGAAACCGTGAAAGCCTTGAAGAGTCCAAGCGCCTCTTGCCCCGCTCCCCCCCCCCTTGTGCTCTGGGCAGCCGCATCCAAGGTGCTCCCAGATGGCAAGACAGTGGAACAGGCGAGCGGTTTTCTGAGCGCCCCTTTTTTTGTTTTGTTTTTCTTCTTTCGGCGGAACTGAAGGGAAGCTCGAACCATTGAACTTGACTGCTACTGGGTTGGATCTTCAGACTTTAACTTTTTGGGAAATCAAGGGGATTTCCACCAAGCCCCCAAAAAGTTAAACTTTTTGCAGGGGGGTCAACAGCAACCAAGTGAAGGAGCATAGGTCGTGCCTTTTCAGCTCGCTTAGAAATGGATGGTATTGGTTAGATTGGTTGTATTCCATCTAAACCAGGTTCGAATCCGAGATTTCCCCTGTGGAGAACCAAATGCATGGGATTCGTTGCACACCACGAGCACACTTTTGATTTGGGATTTTGGTTGGAACACTAATCAAAAGTCGAGGAGTCTGAAGGTGAAAAACAAACAGAGCCGATCATGCATCGATTCGGCTGCTTTCATTCTTCACCGTGCGTGGGTGTTCGCGGCTAGCTTACTAAGTTGTTGGAAACCTGGGTTCTAACCCACTTAAGGTTCCCACAAGCGGAGGCGTTCCTGTCATTAGTCCAGGTAGCTAACCACTCAGCTTGGCAGAACATCCTAATTCGACCACTTGAATACCACACTTGGCATTCAAACAGTGGTTCTGTGTCTTTCACACGTGGCCATGCGAAAGGCTGAGGCATGAGGCGAGTCGCTGATTCCCTCGGGTCTTCCAAGGCCTCAGATTCTCACCACGAAATCTGCTCTCTTTTCGGAACCAAAGGGAAGTGTTCCAAGAAGACAAAGCGCAACTAGCTGGAGTCTCCTTCTGACCCGAATCAAAAGTGGGTCAACCGCTACTTTGGGTGACCAACCTATCTTTTTAAGGGTCCTTAGGGAGACTCCAGGTCCACGAATGCCACGCTGCACCGCAGAAAGGGATGTCCAGTGGGTGGGGATCTGTAGATGCCTCACTTCGATGTTTCGCTTTCAACTTCAGAATGCTCAGAGTCGTGTTTTTTCAGTGGGCAACAGACGCATGTAGCTCGCCCCTGTGCGTACAGTCTGGAGTACTCCTCACATTAAACATGGAACCCAAAGTGGAAATACCCCAACAGAAGGTTCCTCTACCAATGGTTTTGTGTGTTCCATTTTAGTCCGAGCCCCCAAAACCCCTATTTGCCTCCATTTTAGTAGATAGTTCTACCTGGATTCATCAACGCCTTTCTGGGTGTCTCTTTTTTTTTTTTTTCGGGACGGCCCCCGAAATGATGAGTTTCCTCTTGGTGTCACTGTTAACCCCAGCAAAAGGGATACCCCGTCCGACGTCCAGTCTGTTTCGTGTCAGGCGCTGAGGGAATTGGACACCTCCAACGACGGCGTGGTGTCCTTTGACGAGTTCAAGGCGAGGCGAAATGGGTGGCCCAAATTCCGCCACCAAAGAAACACCGCAGGTTGAATCATCGTCGAGATCCGGTTTTCTTCAGAGGTTTGAGGTTTTTTCCGGTTTGTATGGAATCCGCCTGGACATCTGAATGCATGTTTCCGATGTTCAAGGGCGACCGATTGCGATCGGTGCCAGTTGGGAATTTGTTGGAAACCGTTGCGGAATTGGTCCCCGATGCTTTTTTGCCAGTTGGATGGTTGAGTTCCGGGTCATGAGCCATTTCTCATTGTTTTACTGAGCACTAGCCAGAAAAGAAAGCCGCCACATAGGGTTACTGCCACAAAATGACATGCAGATGATGCAAATTGGGTTCATAAACTAGAAATCCCCTCAGCATGGTTTCATGTTGGCTTCCCTTTACACCCAAAAACAACCAGGGAGAAGAGGCATACATCCCCATGGTCCTCTCAACGCCTCTGTTGTCCCAACGCCAACTCAACTAGGTCCCCCAGCTAGGTGCCAACTTTTACCGTTTCTTTTTTGCGGGAGGGTTCCCCTACCAAAATAAGCTACAGAAAACAAATGGTACCCTTATTCTAACCTCTCTACTGGAGGACCTAGTGAAATGCGGATGTCAGTCCTCAGACCAGGCGTATCTGGCGCGCGAGGGCCATGCGACAAATGCCAACCCCGAGGATGCCGTGGAGGCATAGGGGTTGCTGAGGTGGACGGTCGGGGGCTTGGGTTAGAAAATTTTGGTGTTGGCGTTTTGCAAAGGGCTTGGACGGCTTTCATTATGAGTTTCCCCTGAGCAGCTTGGTGTTTTGGGAGGGGCAGAATCGTGGTTCTGTCACATGAGTGAGGTGATGCAAGCACCAAAATCTACGCTTGTCCCTTTCTGCTTCGTGCGGTCTTTGCTGCCTTTGTCTCAGATGTTCGTAACACAACGTGTGCCGAGCTTATTCCAGTCCATGTAACATGGAGTGATTCGGAATGTGCCGCTCCGAGTGTGATTTATTTCCTCAAATTTGTTCGGGTGGGCTGATGTGCGCATTCCATGGGAGTCTTGCTGTGACCTTTTGACACGAATGTTACTTTGGTTCAGGAATGCGCAGCTTGAATGTCTAGGTCAGCTCACAATTTGACAAGAAGCCGAAATGACTTGCAGCTGCATTCCAATTATGTCAGATGATCCATTTGCTGTGCAAATGTTGTCGAGTTTGCCCCATACCTTACACCGGGGTGTGCTTAGTTCCTTTGCATGGGCCAATGTGCATAAATGGAAACCCGGCTTCAGTGAACTCTGGGACCCGCGAAATCCCCTCTTGAAGGTACCAGTAGGTTCCGAAACCAGTAAACATTTGAACCACACACATCAATGGTTCCACACCTTGTGCTAGGCTCACTTTTTGCCACTTTTTTTTTTTCACGAAAAGAGGAGTGGTGCGTTTGGAGACCTGTTGAGTTCTGGGATGGATTTTTCAGCGAAGCTCCGCTTCGGCTTCTCGTCTCGACACTGAAACTTTCGCGAGGTGGACAGTACCCTGAGCCTGGAATCGGCGGGATGCTTGGGCGCAGTGTCCGGTCGGCGGAAATGATGTGTGGTGTCCCTGGGCGGGAAAGATGGGTTTTGGAAAAAAAACGTCTACCTAGAGTCTCCTTCTGACCCGAATCAAAAATGGGTCATTGACCCCATTATTTTGGGCAGTGACCCCATTTTTTAAGGGTCATGGAGACTCCAGGTAAACGCTACGTCCCCCAGTAGTGAACTTTTACCAACTTTTTTGGGGCAGGGGTCCCCTACCAAAATAAACTACAGAAAAAAGTTGGTAGCCTTGTTCTAACCTCTCCACTGGAGGACCTAGCAGGGCTTCCAGGCAAGCAAACTATAGGTAACCAGGGATCCTCACCTCTCGGTTCATGATGGTTTTCCCTGGTTGCGTATAGTCATACCCCCCTAACCGTGTCCCAGCGTGTCCCCACGTAAGACCAACATAGTCTCAATTTATGCTGTTGTGGTTGGGGGTGGGCTGCGAAGCTCTATGATATAGTGGCTTGCCTGGAAGCGCTCGGCTAGGTCCAATGCACTGGACTCAGGGATGGAGCACGGATCTTCGCTTGGCTGAGCAACTGATCCAATGGTGTTGCCCCGCCACCGGCAGCGACGTGTTCTTAGGGATTCCTGAACTCTGGCTCTCTGGTTAGCGAGCTCTAGCAAGTAGCCCAGAATGGTGTTGCCGCTGTGTCGTGCTGAGTTTGCCGAGTGTATCATGTTAACTGTCCACTGAACTCGACGAACATAACACGTACGAGTCCATTTTTCTGCTTGGAGGATTGATGACCGGTTCGGGAGACGCATGGCCAGGTCCATTTGTGCAATCGCCAGTAGGGAGTTGTAGCGTGTTGAGTGCACACGCTAGGTCAGGTTGTTCCGCGGCTCCGTGTCACCCGCATGTTTTCCGTCTTGTTCCAGTCCTCTGAAATGGCCGGAGAAAATTGCAAGCGTGCAAGTTTCCCGCAAAGGAAGCCCAAAGATGGGTGGTTTGGCTCAGAAGTACTTTTGCCAAATGGAACCAAGAGGATGAGTAGTTTTGGTAATATCTTTAGCGAGTAGGAAACACTTAGCACGTGGAACCTCAGTTGTGGCGCACCGGTTCCTGGGATAATTTCAAGTATGTGCGAGCGCTCATTTCTTGGGGTATGTGCATGTCAACTGATTGTGAATGTTGACCCTGTTGATTTCGCCAAAGTGAGCCTCCAAAAGGGAGAGTGGCACCTCCTGGGAGGTTTCCTTCAACGCAGGCTTTTCAATGATACCAGGTCCGTTTCAGCCAAAAGGAGACTACCTGGAGTCTCCATGACCCTTAACAAACGGGGTCATGACCCAAAATATCGGGGGCATTAGGCATTGCCCCATTTTTCAGGGGTCAGTCTTGGAGACTCCAGGTACTCAGCAAACAAACCCTCCGAAACCGGATAACCGGATGACCTTTGGGAACCACCCTAAATGGGTCAGAAGGAGACTCCAGGTATGACTCAACGGGGCCCTCCGATCCACCCGTGGGATCGATCTCAGATCCTGCGGCAACTGGCGCCTTTGGTGGGCAGGCCCGAGGCGCGATCGATCGATCCGATGCGCGGGACCGGAGGTTGGAGCCGAACGTTTTTCTCTCCAAATCGCTCCCATCGCTTTTTGGGCAATATCAAAATTACACCACCTGGACACAACAAAACCCTGAAACAAATAAGTGTAGTTCGAGGGTCAAGGCAGTCATAAAATGGGTATGGGTCAACAATAAACCACCAGGGGACCACAGGTTTTAGTCATTGTTTCCATTTACCAGGCTGCCATTTCGGGGTTACCCTATTTTTGACCCACAGCCATATGTTTTTCTCCAAGCAGCGAAGCAAGAGCGAAGCATTGGGGTTCGAACTTGAGGTTTTTTCTTGCTGAATGGGCCGTCGTCGCACTCTATTGCTTTTTTTGCTGCTTGGGGTCGACTGGTGTAGTTGTACTCTCGTAGTTGGAGGGTCCACTTTCCAACATGTCGGGTTTCTAACTTACCGATCCGAGCAAAAGCAGGGCTCAAACCCATGGTGAAGGTACTTGGACTTGGGGATCCAATTCTAACTAGCAGGTTTAGAACTCATCGCCACACTTGCAGATTCATGACGACGATTGCAGGGTTTTGGAAGATGTTCTGCTGAAAAGAGCCCTTGTCCACTTCCATGACTTGAGAACGGGTACGCCGTGTATCCCTTCGCTGTGTGGCATCGTTCCGTGCCCTTTGTGTAGCAAAAGTGGGGGTCTCCGTTTCTGAGGGCAACGACTTCGGCGTAGCCAGCGTAAATGGGTTTTTCCAGGGGACCCGTTGAACAGGTTCCAACAAATGGGGTTCCAGCCACCAAAAGATAGTCTAGGTCCCCCAGTAGTGCCAACTTTTACCGGTTCTTTTTTTGGGGTGGGTTCCCCTACTAAAATAGACAAACCAGAAAAAAGGGTACCCTTATTCTAACTTCTCTACTGGAGGACCTAGTAGTCATGTGTACCCAATTCTTACATTTTGGGACACCCAAGTTTTGGGAAGAGGCCGCCTTTTTTCAGTCGCTTGAGTCCGCCAGGCAGAGCTGGTCAAGGAAGCCCGGCGAGTGCAGGAGGAGCACTGGATCACCACTGCAGCTTGGTGGCGTCAGGTTCGGTTTTTTTTTCAACAACCCTGGGCTGCCCTCAGATCCCCCGCTAAAAGTTTAACTTTTAGTGGGTTAAATAGAAACTACCACTAAACACTAAAAGGCTAAAAAGCTAAGGGGATGGCTGGAAGCCACCAAGACAGTAACCGTGAGAACTCTTCTGAGTGAATTGGCCCAAACCGGCCCTTGATGCCCTGAGCATTTCAAGTGAATTGTGACTTTGCTCGTCACACAGTCTTCAGAACTTCCCGGATGTCGGCCATGTAATCGACGGGACGCTTTGCGATCCTTGCGAAGTCAACCAGAAGAGCATTGAGTGAAAACATATGTGCGCGTGATGTGGCGTGATTGCCCTATTCAACATGACAGGGGCATTTTCGATTAAACAGCACTGCATGTGAGAGAAGTATGGCAAAGGAGCTATGGCTAAGGCAGTAATTGTGTGAACGGTCTCACCTGTAAATGGCAACGAAGCAGGATGTTGCTCCTTTTTTTCCGCTTGTAGCTCATCATTCCCATGGACACCATATGTATTGTTCCCACTGGGCAGGGTGCCGATACAAATCAACCTTGAAGCTCAGAGCGAGTTGCACCATCCTTCCCCGTTGCCCTCGACAATGTTATAATAGCTCAGAATGGCAGGAAAAAGCAGTTAGCATGGGAGGAAAAGCAGTTTGAAAGTGGGATTTTGTCCGCTTGGGCAGGAGTCTGTTTGCTAGCCTCATTTTACTTGTTGCGTTCAACTTTGATGAAGACATGCAATTGTCCGAGCAGCAGGGCTTGCAGGAAAGTTTCAGCATACCAAGACGAACCCATGTTTCTGTGTTTGATTGGCTTTGCACGGGGTTCCTGACACCTTTTTGTTATAGTGTGTCTTGGGGCATACTTGGATGTTCGGCCAAGGTGGCAAGTGGGTTGCCACCTGGGAGTTTTAGCCGGTATAGCTAATGACAGGGCTGACTCCACTTCGGGGAACCCATAAGTCTGGGTGAATCATAACGACCTCACAGGACCTCACCCCAAATGGTGGTTACGTGGGGATTGGCCCCCCAACCACCTTATTTCAGGTTGGTGAAATCTTATAATTCACCCAGAGAAGTGGGTTGCAACCCAAGTTACCAACTCGCAAAGTTCGCCGAAGACGCTGGTTCTGGCCAGGTGGCCGACCTCAAGTCCCTCACAGACACAGTCAGGGGGCCAAAGCGATGGAGATCGTTTCGTCTCACACGGCTCATGAACATGAGTCACCTGTTGGGTTTGGACGTAAGTTTGGTGCATGTTGCCAAGGGATGTTAGGACTTGAACTTTTTGCCAAGCTAATGGCTTTACGCACAAAACCACTAAAAGCTATTCACAGAGAGCAGGGGAGCAGAAAGCAACCGAGTAAAAAGTTTGGGCTCGTTTTGGGTCCACTCAGAAAGTGAGGTGAACTTCCAACTTCCAACAGCTTTGAGGTTAGAACGTTCCACAAACTTCCACCCGGGGTGGGTGAATTAGGGAATTCGTGGATGACGAGCCACTTGAAAAGGATTGACACCTTGAGTTCAACGGTGCGGGTGGAGTTCCTCACATGACAACCAGCGACAGCGTACACCCGGTTCAACACCCCAGCGACTCTGTCCTGGTCCTGTGCTTGCTTAGTTTCGCCCTCCCGGAAAAGGTGTCAGGGGCGCCGTTTAACGGCGCCCCTCCTTTTGGTATCTTGCTTGCGCATGCAGTGGCCGCCAGGGCTCATGGTTGACGAAATGTTGGGCAACATCACAGAAGCCGGAGCTTTTGCCGGGGCTCTACATTCCCGAGGCTCCTCACATGTCCCATTTCGGGTGATGTTCCTTGTGATTGGCGCCAGCCACGAAGCTCAGGCCTCCCTGGTTCGCAAAAAAGTCCTCCCGGGATTCTTGTTCAACACTAAGCCCAGGTGGTATCCCCAACAGCTCCGTAACCCGAATCTCCAGAACCCTAAGTTGCCCCAAATGAGCAACGAGAGCCTATTTGGGCCTATTGACCAAAGCCACAGCTTGCAGCTGTTGGGAAAAAATGCTAGGTCCCCCAGTAGTGCCCTTTTAACATTTTTTGGGGAGGGTTCCCCTGCTAAAATAGACTAGAGAAAAAGGGTACCCTTATTCTAACCTCTCCACTGGAGGACCTAGAATGTTAACAGAAGGAGAAGGATCTGTCAGGAAGGCCGTCGTCGATCCGTTCGGCCTTTGAATCCAGGACTGGCAGCGTTTGGCCTTGCCTCTTAAGCTTGAGAAGGCAGGGCATTCGCAAAATCGAGCGGCAGGATTGGCTTGTTCCTTAACTCACCTTGAATTTGGGTGATATGTCTAGATGGCCCAAGGGTTCAGTAGCACCTTTTCCTGGAGTCATTAGTTGGACTGGTGTTGGGAGTGTGTAAGTGTCATGGGGAGCTCACTTCAACACTGGGGTCTCATAGGGATCCCTTTCTTTTGGATGAGTTCTTATTCAAAGTTGAGCGAAACCGAAACCGCAGTGCTTATATTGGAATTGGGTTCATTTGTTGCTCCCTTTCTGGCACTCAAAGTTGCTGGCCTAGGAGAGGGGCTGTGAGGAATTGCTCGATGCCATAAAGGTGTTAGTTTTGAACAGCCCTTTGAAACTAGCCGCTCAATCGATGTGCCATGGTCCAATCAGCAAACGAAACCAGACCCAACACAACACCATTGCCAAGAAACCACCCAGCCCAACAAAGCTTCAGACTTAGATGGAACACCAAAGCCAGCAATCAAGCGAACCCACCAAATCTCCAAAGCCTAGAAACGAGCAAATGGGTGGGTATTTCTTTTAGCCATACCCTTTTGGGGGTTGGTTAAAGCAGAGCTCTGTTGACCATTGCCAGGCTCTACGGAACCACCTGACGGCGTAGTGCTCTCTCTGTCTTCCTCTTGCGGCGAGGCATGGGTTGAGAGGGGCTGGGGCGTCGCAATCTAGGGAATTCCACCCCATGCGATGTCCATGTCCAAGTCCATTTTGGGGGGACCCCCCAAGTTTGCCAAGGTTCGAGCTTCATGTGCCATTCCTGCTCCCTGCCATCGGGCGCAGCTTAATTTTTGTTCGACACTTTACCCGCCCACTATTTGGCCAGCACACGGACACAACGCTTCCCAAAGAGCCATGAAAGAGATGGTGAGAAACAGGGGGTCTTTTTGCCGCCTTTTGTGGAAAATTGTTCGACCCCCTCGTAGTGAAGGATTCCTTTTTAAAGGGGTCGCCAATTTTCTCACAAACGGTGGCAAAAAGACCCTGGTGAGAAATCGGTATACTGTAACGGCCGCCTGTGTTTGCAAGAATTCACCTGAAGCTGGCAATGCCAGCTTCAACGGTTCCTGGGACCCACGGTCTTTGGCACGAGGAAACATGTGTCTGCTGGTGGAAGCCAGGTGCATGTTGCGAGCAAATGCTGGGAAACGTCATGTTGGCGCCTCCGAACCTGGGAACACAAAACGAGAGCCTTCCGCCCAAAGCCACCTTCTAGGTCCGCCAGTAGTGCCCTTGTACCCTTTTTGGGGGGGAGGGCTCCCCTACTAAAATAGACAAACCAGAAAAAAAAGGGTACCCTTATTCGAACCTCTCCACTGGAGGACCTAGGCTTCATTTTTGAAAGCCCCAGGTAGTGCCAATCCCGCCTTGAACCCATTGCCAGGCCTGGGTGCCAAAGCAGCACCCTGGTTCCGATCGATGCGCACGGGCGCGTGGTTCCCCATGTTCCAAGTGGGTCTCGAGGGTTCTCAAAATGGGTGTGGCTCAAAATTCAACGATCGGAGGGGCCAACCGCAGGTTTTGGTCCATGTTTTCACTTACCAGGGCAACCCATCTTGGAATTCCGGTTTTTGGAGCCACAGCCAAATGTGTTTTGGGGTTTTCCTTTGAGCCACCAGAAGGTGTTGATGCACTTCTTAGACCCATTCCGTTGATAGACATCTTGCCAGTTGCGGGGGGTCAAGAGGTCGTAGTTGCGCTCCAGTTGCGTCCCTGTTCTACTGACTGAGGTCCGATCAGCTGTTCTGCAGGGATGTAGGACCAGAAATTCATGAGTCAGCGAGACTGGCATCCATCATTTAGAGGTTGTGCTATCATTGGGGGCATGCCCTTTTCCGGCCAGGAAAGTTTATGATGTTGGTGCTGCCTTTCATTGCTTTCCGTGGACAAAAGAACCAATCGGCGACCTAGCACTCAGCTTCAAGTCTGTTTGGCAACGTTTTTTGGGACGAATGCTCCCAAAGAGATATCTGAATTGTGGCGAAGAGTCAGTATCAATCTTGGGTGTTCTCGCAGCAGGGAAACAAAGTAGCAACAATTACATTGTTTTGTCTTGTGCACCCTGCTTTCGGGTTGGGTGAAAGGGAACTCAAAGGAAATCTGCATGGAGACAAGCCCACTTCTTAGCTGACCTTTCAGTGTCAGCTTCGGCTGCTGAAGCTCTATGGCACATGTATGTCAATGCCAATGCCTGAGGATGGCTCGAAATGGATGCGCATCGGCCAAAACGCGTGCGCTTCTTCATCTTCCGTCCCGGCCGTGTTAGGGGCTTTGTTCAATACATTAAGTCACCATGAGCCATGTGTTTCGTTTTCACAGGATGCATGTGCGAACGATTCGTTTGCGTTGCCGGCGATTGTCGGAACGGCCATCGCTGGAGCGGAACACGCGGAATCGCTTGCAGGTTTGGATTCGCCATTGCCAAATTGTTCATAGCAATATTTGGAAACCCCCAGTCCCAGTCCCATGGGGCCAAAATGATCAGCCTTGGTATAGGGTGATTCCGAGAGGCTTGGACTAAAGTCGCGTGTTGCGTCGTTGGGTCACAAATCGGGTCGAACTATTTCAGCCGGCTTCCAATGAGCCGAAGGGGTTTGGTTGGCTGGTGGGTTTCCTTGTTTTGTTCTCCTTCAATGAAGCCCCTGGTTGGTTTCCTGGTTTTTTTCTCCTTCAATCGTGACGAATCTACCAGGGCATGGATAGTGCCCGGACAACGCATCATGTTTGGGGTGAGAACATAGAGATGGCGCGCAAAAATAGATTTCCGAATATGGTCTGCTCAACAGATTGTGTTCTCGTTTCGCCCACGTCTTCCAAGGACCAGCTTATATGAATTGTATGCCCCTTTAAATCCCAGTTACCCTTACTGTAGGTAGCTTGTCTTTTTGGTGGATCCCTCGGTTTCCTACTATAGAGGCAAGAGGATCCACTACCGTATACATTTGAGACCTGCCGCTTTGACTCCCACCAACTCCGGGGTCGCTGCAATGGCGCGAAGCTGTGCGCCGTGTTTGAATGGAATAAACGTAATGCGGAGAGCTATAACGAGCAATTTTGGGTTTGAGCAACTGCAGGCATGTTTTCAACCATCAGCTTTCTTGTTGATTTGGACACTGAAAGTCTCTTCTTCATGGAATAGGTTGCAATGCTTGTAAATTGGTAATCCAGGAAAGCTTAGATATGTAGCAAGCAAGCCTTTCCGGTCGCTCTTTGCTTCTGGAGGGCAGCGGTCGGCAGATATTCTTGCGCTGTACTATGAAAAGCACGATGGTTGAAAACTAATATCTGGGGATTTTTCTCAGGTTTGATTCCCTATTCTCTTCGCCCATCGTTCTCTTTAGAAACCACCTTTGTCCTAAAAAAGGAAACCCTTGGGGAAAAAGACAGCGATCGGTTTTTGAAAAGAACGATGGTTGAAAAGAATGGAACAGGAATCCACCCCTAGGAAAAGGGGGGTGTGACGTCGATCCAAGCTCCGAGCTCCAAGTCCTTCCTGGGCTCCGCGGCGCTCGGCTCACCCGAGAATTCTCTCGGCTCTCCGAAGTCCGACTTGCATCGCCACCCGAGCGATATGGCTTCCTTGACTTCCCGCCTTGCGCCTCGGGGCCATTCGCTTTCTCTTTTTTTGTTGACGGTTTCTGGGGGGTGAAAGTGGGAGAACCCAGTGTTATGAGCAATGAGGGCGATGTTTGACGGTTTCTGGGTTTCTGGTGGTGGTTTCCCTTTAACCCACCACTCCGGGGGTGACTTGGATCATGGATCAATAATGATTTAAACCTCAACGCATTGACTCACAAACCCCCGAGTTCCGGGACTCAGACTCGAGTCTCTTTTTGGGTTTGGTTGCCATTCTAGTGGTAAACTAAAAAAGCTCAGACTTTTTCCGACCAAATCCACTCAGGAAGTCAGACAACTTGGGCCATTCAACATCGTTTTTCCCCCCCACAAGTTTGTTGACCCCGGACACATAAACCCCCGTTTATTCAGGTCGCCACTAAAACCTGAGGTTTGCTCGCATATTACGGGGAGAACCCCAGGTTGTAGGGTGGATTCAGACCACTTTCGGAGGAGAACTATCAAATAAACAGGGGATGGTTGTGTCTTTTTTGAGGGTACCAATTGTTGCTTGGTGGTGTTGAGGGAAACAAAGAGGAAAACTACAATTTTGGGGGTCCACCAAAATAAGCTCAGGTGATATCCCCAAAAACATGCGGTACTCTTTTTAGTGCTCGCACCACCCCGCAGCCCTCGCAGAACCTCGTGTGGGGGCACGAGGAACCCTCGTGGAACCCTGGTGGAAGCCTGGTGGAACCTTACCTCAGGGCCGCCCCGGACCACCCCGGAGCCTATCTGGGCTGAGACCGCAAAGCTTTCAGCGGTTGGGGAAAAAACAGTTCAACCTGTGCTTTGGTAGGAGATTCAAGAATAGCCTTGGAGCAAGTCGCACAAATGTGGTTTTCTGTGTGTTTCATCCATGGGGAACATCTTCCAATTTAGTCTGTGGAAGTGAATCCCTCTGCAAATGATGCCCACCAAAGGGTCCCCAAAACACATATACCCATACTCGTCCCTTGCAGTGATACCCGGCATCGAAGTTGCCTGGGTTCCTGTTTGAAGCGCATTTCTCAATGAGGATTTTACAAATCATTTGGTCATGAAATACTCCATCGTGCCAGGTCTGGCAAGAAACTATTGACAATTCCTCGCCCTACCCATCACATTACAATGTTTGTCTCCAAGAATTCCTTTTGGATGCGTTTCAAGGGTAGCAATCAGAACTCCAAGCATTAATTCAAAAGCTCCTGTACATGGGATGATCATTGGTTGGAAAACCACAAACAAGATGAGATGTCCCATTACACGGGACAAGTTACCCACGGTCATTTGGGAAGACTACCCCCATATATTTGTGCCCAGTCGAGCATCTTGAGCGCCACCTACACGGTGAAGCTGCAAAGAGTGGGGTCCGAGACGGTGGGCTGCATCATCCGCTACAACACCGAGATCCTGCTGGCCAGTGCCCCAGTCGTTCATTCGAAGAGACTCAGGTGTTCAGCTGGGGGGTTCAATGGGATTTACGGGCACTCTATAGCCAGTGGAGGAAATTTGCCGGTTTTCCCCTGGAGGTCGTCGTTTGGGGAGGGGGGGGGGGGGGTTCAGTTGCAACCACTGGATTCCGCCCTGTTGTCAGCTTTTTTTGGGTTTTGGGTTCCCCTTGAAAGTCAACCAACCAAAAAACGGATGCTCTTTTTTCCCATGGAAATCCACTGGGCATCTGAGTGGGGGAGGGGGAGAGGTGCCTTGAAGTTTCCATGGTTTGGCCATGTTGTTCGTAGGACTTGCCGTGTGAGTGAAGGGCAATCTCCGTAATGAGTCGGTGAGATTTTGGCGGTCAGGCCAGGCCTTGATCCTTTGATGGATTCCCCACTGAGAGTGGACATACTGGACAAAATTTGAACGAACTCAGGTGGGAATTGAACAAGCTCACCCAAGATGAAGGCTTGCTGTCGGGTTCTCTTGTCTGGATCAACCATTCAATAAAAGTGGCCCAAATCATTGCTGAATTTACTTCCGTTCACGCTTGGTCGCTTGTCACTTGCATGCTCAGGTGACTCGAGTGCTGAGCCACTCTTCCATGGAGGAGTGGAATCTGATGAATGCTGGAAAGGAGGTCAAGTATGGCAGTCGCATTCGGAGCGCCTCCGGCCAGAAGCAGTTGTTGTTGCTTGTTGCGTGTTGCGGTTGCGGTTGCGGTTGCTGTTGCAGTTGCTGTTGCTGTTGCTGTTGCTGTTGCTGTTCTTGTTCTTGTTCTTGTTCTTGTTCTTGTTCTTGTTCTTGTTCTTGTTCGTGTTCGTGTTTGTGTTTGTGTTCGTGTTCGTGTTCGTGTTCGTGTTCTTGTTATTGTTATTGCTATTGTTCTTGTTCTTGTTCTTGTTCTGGTTCTGGTTCTGGTTCTGGTCTTGTGCTTGTGCTTGTGCTTGTGCTTGTGCTTGTGCTTGTGCGTGTGCGTGTGCTTGTGCTTGTGCTTGTGCTTGAGCTTGAGCCTGAGCCTGAGCTTGTGCTTGTGCTTGTGCTTGTGCTTGTTTTTGTTCTTGTTCTTGTTCTTGTTTTTTCTTGTTCTTGTTCTTGTTCTGGTTTTTGTTCTTGTGCTTGTGCTTGTCCTTGGTATGTTCTTGTTCTTGTGCTTGTCCTTGTGCTTGTGCCTGTGCTTGTGCTTGTTCTTGTTCTGGTTCTGGTTCCTGTTCCTGTTCCTGGTGCTGGTTCTTGTCGTTGTCGTTGTCGTTGTGGTTGTGGTTGTGGTTGTGGTTGTTGTTGTTGTTGTTGTTGTTGTTGTTGTTGTTGTTGTTGTTGTTGTTGTTGTTGTTGTTGTTGTTGTTGTTGTTGTTGTTGTTGTTGTTGTTGTTGTTGTTGTTGTTGTTGTTGTTGTTGTTGTTGTTGTTGTTGTTGTTGTTGTTGTTGTTGTTGTTGTTGTTGTTGTTGTTGTT